CTAGAGAGTTCTTTATATCTGTTAAACAAATGTATGTCATAGTGCTTTTTCAATCGAGAGTGAAGTCTGTTTTTTCATTTATCTTTTTAATTAGTGTGTCCGATATCCATGGAGTTCGATGCCTATTTTTACTGTTAATAGGCCTTAAAAAACTTGATTGCTCAATACATTTATTATAAATATCGTAAAAAACTGTTAGAGATTTATCAACATCCTCACAATCAAACACTGGCATCCAGCTCACTTCAGCCAACCTTCTTTTTAAAATTGAATGATCTACAGCCTTGACAAACTCCTCTTTCAAAGCACTATCACAACTTGTTACGCAATTTACATTAACTCCAGCATGATCAGTAAAGTCATAGTTTTCTAAATTACTATGAAAAATTAAATTAGTCTTACTTCTGATGAATACATGGTCTAAACACTTTACCCAATTTTCTCTCCCCCAAGTTGGCTCATTTATAAACGACTCAAAACCAAATGAGTTCATTATACTTAAATAATCAATGACACTGTTATTTTGTTCTAAAATGCATAAATTTATATCTCCTAACATAATAGCTGTGTTTTTACAATTACTCAAAATACGTTGCAAATCATTGCGGAAAAAATAAAAATCATATTTATAGTTTCTATACAAAGCTATTAAGTCAATTTCAAAAGGTTTATCATTTATGGTAAAAACTAATGTCAGTTTAATTAATTCAACTTCACGTGACTGAAAGCGTTCATAATTTAAAGTTAAATGATTAGAAATATAAATTACCACTCCACCAGTCTATGTGTATAAGTTGAGACACGTTTGTAGAAAACACTAAAAAGGCAATCTTCTAAACAATTTTAAAATATTTACAACTTTAATTATATAGAAATGTTCATAACACAGTAAGTAATTCCATTAGTTGCATAAGCTTTTACGTTAGTCTTTTTAATTAATTGAAAATTAAGTCTGTAATAACTCTTAAAATAGCTCCTGTAACACCGGTACTTGATAATTGCTTGATTTCCAGCAACGAGTACACAAGTTAAAAATTCAACAATGCATTAACATAACAAGCTCTCTTTCACGCTGCAAGACTAGTAAACGGCAGAAGTAAGGCAGAACGGCAGAACTGCGGTATTGGTTTACCATACACGCCTGCAACGATGCGCTGCAAACCGCGCGACGAGTAGCTAAATGAACCGTAGAGTAAGTGAGCCTTCTAATATTTGTAGAGGGTTCACTTACTCTACAGATCATTGTGCCAATGAACTGTAGAGTAAGTGAGCCGTCTTCTATTTGTGTAATAGTTATCATGAAATAGGCTCGTATAGTATACGAGCCTACTCCTGTAATTTATTTAAATTCAGTATTTTGGCTCGTATACTATACGAGCTTATTCCTGAATTATTCAAGAATTCATACGCTTGGCTCATAGGCACTATGATCTGTAGAGTAAGTGAACCCTCTTAATTTATTTGATATTTTTGATCGGCTCGTATAGTATACGAGCCTGTAGTGCAAGTGAACCTTCAATATTATTTACGAAGCTCGTATAGACTATGATTTGTAGAGTAAGTGAGCCATGTGTTTTAAGAATTACATATTTGGAGGCTCATTGTGTCAATGATTCGTAGAGTAAGTGAACCCTAACCTGCGAAAATGAAACATCATCTGGTAATTGTTCACTAAGCATTGTACTGTGAATAATTAAGTTTGTTACAAAATGAACAGATAAACTGTTTAAAAAATACAAATACTGCTCTATTGGTTTACCATAATCGCCTGCAACGATGCGCTGCGAACCGCGTGATGTGTAGCTAAATGAAATGTAGCATAGATAAATTTATGGATTAACATTTTAACATATTAACATTTTATCTATGACTGTAGTGTAAGTTCATGAGCCATCTTTATTCCTGAATTAAAAAATAATTCATACGCTTGGCTCATAGGCACTATGCTCTGTAGAGTAAGTGAACCTTCAATATTATTTACGAGGCTCATAGTGTATACAGGGTGGTAAAAAAGTCCCTGGACAGTTAAATATTTTAAAAAATAATGCAGATAGAGCTACAATACTTGGTACAAAGTTACAGGGCATAAAACTCTATTTTAACACATATTCAGTGATCCAATAACTCTTCAGGGGGACGGCCCACAAGGAGTCGGAAGAAAATCTTAAATGGAAGCATAGGTCAATATGCACATCAAATTAAAGGTCTTTTTTAGTAGAATACAATGCCGCAAACCGCACATCAAAAGGTTGATTCTGCGCAAAATGACAGTTGTTCAAAGATTCATTTAATTTACATTGCTATTATACGCTTACTCCTCAGGGGGCACAGCCCTAGGAATCGGAAGAAAATTGTTAACGTAAGCATAGGTCGATATGCACATCAAATTAAAGGTCTTCACTAGTAGATTATGATGCCGTAAATTCAAGCTCAAAAGAATGCCTGAGTAAAAAATGGTAGTAGTTCAAAGATTCAAAATGGCGGATTCAAGAAATCTTTGAACATCTGCCATTTTGCGCAGGATCAACCTTTTGAAGTGCGGTTTGCGGCATTGTATTCTACTAAAAAAGACCTTTAATTTGATGTGCATATTGACCTATGCTTCCATTAAAGATTTTCTTCCGACTCCTTGTGGGCCGTCCCCCTGAAGAGTTATTGGATCACTGAATACGTGTTAAAATAGAGTTTTATGCCCTGTAACTTTGTACCAAGTATTGTAGCTCTATCTGCATTATTTTTTAAAATATTTAACTGTCCAGGGACTTTTTTACCACCCTGTATAATTTGCAGTGTAAGTGAACCCTTGTAAGGGAGGGGGGCAGGGGCGCACAATTTTTATTTCAGGATTAGTTTTGCCAACAGTGTCATTTGGAGGCTTCTGATTGACTATAATGGAGGTTTTAGAAAAAATAGTAATAAATAAAAAAAATAAATACGTGTTGATTTTATATTCAAATGTTTTTCAGCGCTGTAAGAATTAAATTTGATATCTGAATTTTTGTTGTCTTCCAACATTTTATAAGTAGAAAGTGTGTAGTATAAATCTTTCAAAATGTAAAAAAGTTCTTGTCCATTTGATATTGAAATGTTTTCCTGTACTGCAAAAAATAAATTTGATGTCTGAATATTTATAGTCTTCCAATATGTTAAAATTTGTAGTACAGTATAAATCTTTCAAAATGTAATAAAAAATGTCTTGTCAATTTGACATTTATATGTTTTTAATGCAATTTCAAAATTTGTTTTCTGAATTTTTATAGTCTTATATTTATTTTATAAGTCTTTCAATATGTTAACATTTAAAAGTTTGTAGTACACATCTTTCAAAATGTAAAAAATCACAAGTCCAGAGTCAAAAAAAGAGGAAATATTGACGGACATTGTTCTTAAGCTTAACAATTTTTCACTTTCACATGTTCACAAATTTTCATGAAATAATTACAATTAATCAGTCTAGACTAGCTCCTCGCACGCGTCGCGCATCAATACCGGTACATATGAAAAATGTTTGTGACTCTTACGTGCTTCGTTATTATGTTTGTGTTCGTGACCGTATTTGTGTTCTTGTAAATTAAATGTGACGAATTTGTATGAATGACAACTTTTGACTTCCTTTGACACCAGAAGAAAGCCCCCTAAAGGCTGAAACTGCAGCAGTGTAATACTACTCCAAGGATCACTTGACAGTTAAGGTATTCAAACCATTTATTAATTAGCTAAAGTGATTCGGAGGCTAACATCAACAATTACATTAGTTTGGAATTGTGATTTGGCACTTAGTAATTTGGACTCCTACCTTTAAAACTTTGCTTCATCCCTGTCTTCAACGTAACAAGTTTTCTGAAGTTTGTATTCCATAAGCAAGGAGTTGATTCTAGAGCGGTGTTTATTTTTATTTTTTTAAATTGATGCACAGCTTAAAAGGGTCATTATTTGACCAAAACTTTAAAGCCTACTTGTCTTCCCTGGCATTTAGTGTTAAATCATACATCTGCTTCTTATATCTGCCATAAAGAAAATCCTGCCTAAAAAACCAAGCACCCATCATTGCAAACTACCTGTTAGCTGAGAATCTATTTTCTTTCACCCAATAAGACTTCGAGGGCGACCAATGTCTTAGGATGCGCTTATCAACTGGAAAAGTTTGAGCTTCCGACAGCAGCAGCTGGTTACCTCCTAGGTAAGAAGTGGAATTTTTTACTTCATGTTGTTTCTTGTCTCAGGATTACTGTTTTTAGATTATAAAAGGTATAATGTTACCTGGATCTGCCAGAGTAATCCAAAGGCTGTCTGTCGAGACAACGCGTTTCGAAGCATTAATAGCTTCATCATCAGGTCTTCAACAACACTTATCACTTATCAGAGGTCGTCAAATAAATATAATTTTTACAAACATACATACGAAAAATAGTAGGCCTACGAACCACGTGCGTGCACTTAGACAGGTTTGACAGTCATGACACGCGGTTCGTAGGCCTACTATTTTTCATATGTATGTTTGTAAAAATTATATTTATTTGACGACCTCTGATGAGTGATAAGTGTTCTTGTTCTTGAAGACCTGATAATGAAGCTATTAATGCTTCGAAACGCGTAGTCTCGACAGACAGCCTTTGGATTACTCTGGCAGATCCAGGAATTTTTAATTTGAATTTTTGAAATTAGACATTTGAATTTGAACTTCTGGAAATTCATATGGGGGCTGAATCAGAGACAAGCCACATAATGAACAATGGCCTTCTACGACCATCACCAGGTGGATCATTTTGACTCCACAATATAAATGAAGCTGGGTTGATAATGATTAGTGAGGTATGTTTGATTTCATAACGAAAGAACGGACATGCTTCTTCAAACAGTTTGTTTCACCAACTAATTAGGATTTTCAAAAATGGCATAAGCCTTGTCTCATTTTAGCTTTAATGAGGTTGGAAACTTGTACCATTCATTTAATCTAACAAATCTCAAAAACTCCAGAAGGAAAATAAAAATGTCAGATAAAAATTCCAATTTATTTATTAATCTACATGTACTTTACATTGTTGTTGATTCAATTATCAAAACAGTCCTTTTATATCTTATCTGTAAACATTTTCTCTCATTTAAATTTTCAGACAGAAGTAATCAGTTACTAAACTAATGGGAAAATTTGATGTAAAATGTTAAAAATTCATGTGTAAACAAATAAAAATATAATTACAAAAAAAGCTGCGCAGCTCATTGAAAATATAAAAATCTTTATTTTTCAGTATCACAATATAACATAACATTAAAACGGTTTTTATCTATGTACAAAAGATTATTATTTTATTGCACCCAGAACCAAATCTAAATAACTAAAGCGCTTAGAAAAAGATGAGGCGTGCTTCACTTGGGTTCTGCTCTACAGGACAGTAGGGACACTTTAATCTGCAACATTGTACACACGTGAGTATTGTGGAATGAGTAGGCTATAACTAGGAAAATTTGAAAAATTGAGAATGGTACAAGACATACAGTGTGTAAATTAAGTCTGGCACACATTTTTTATCTTTTTTTCTATAGTAGATAGAAGAAATCAATTTGCGGGACTGATTAATAACAAATGCTAGGCACTTTTTACAAATTTTGAAAATAAAAATTCCCTTAAGGGCAAGTGGGGGTGGGTGGTAACTAAAAATTTTCAAATGACAACCCCCATCTTGTGACCCCTCATTTTAAAGGTATTTGAAAGACAAATCTAAAGATGTGTCTGAAAAAAAATTTTTTGCACTCTATCCAAGATGACGGTTTAAAATGTACTTAGGGTTGAACGGGTAAATTAGGTATGGCATACATTTCTTATCTTTTTTACTCTTTGTAGATAGAAGGAATTATTTTGCGGGACTGAGTAAGAACAAATGTTTGGCATTTTTTCATAATGTAAAAAAAAATTACCTTAAGGGTAAGGTGGGGGTGGGGGGTAACTAAAAATTTTCAAATGACAACCCCCATCTTGTGACCTCTCATTTTAAAGGTATTTGGAAGACAAATTTAACGATGTGTCTGATTTTTTTTTTTTTACATCCTGTCCAAGATGGCGGCTTTAAATGTGCTTGGGGTTAAACGGATGGGGTCTGGAACACAATTTTACCTGTTTTGCCATTAATAGATAGAACTTATCCACTTGTGGGACTGAGCTAAAATTAGGCACTTTTTTATTTATTTGAAAAAATCCCCCTAAGGGTGTTTCAGACTTAATTTACTTGTTCAACCCTAAGCACATTTTAAGCCGCCATATTGGACAGGGTGCTTAAATAACATTTTTAGACACATCGTTAAATTTGTCTTCCAAATACCTTTAAAATGATGGGTCACAAGATGGGGGTTGTCATTTGAAAATTTTTAGTTACCCCCCACCCCCCCTTTGTCTTAAGGGAATTTTTATTTTCAAAATTTGTAAAAAGTACCTAACATTTTTTATTAATTAGTCCCGCAAATTGATTACTTCTATCTACTATAGAAAAAAAGATAAAAATTGTGTGCCAGACTTAATTTACACACTGTATAGGCTACTATACTATACAAACTTAGACAATTTAACCAAAAGAGATATACACATTTTTGAAGTGATATTTTTGAGTTACAGGTATTCATTAAAAAAGTTAGCCTTTTTTGTCCACAGAACATTTTTTATTAAATTCAATGACTTACTATGACTATCCAAGACCATTTACCATTGATTTCCATGAATCTAACTTTGTTTGAAAATTTGAATATAACATACACGCCTAAATACTGCCTATACAAGTTATTTCACAAAAAATACTGAAACATGTATTAACAGATAACAACGGAGGATTAAATTTTGCAAAAATATGGTATTTAAAATAAGGAAGGGTAAAAAGAAAACCCAGCGTCCTCCGTTCCCATAGCTGGCCAAGTTCCACTTTCTTTTTTTTCCTTCCTATATACTTTTTGGCTATTTTCCATGATTTTCAATGGCCACAATTTTTTCCATGACTATCCCTGACTTTCCAGAATGTGGACACCCTGCTTGTTAGCCAGTCATACTAGCCAGTTTGTTAATAAAGTAAACAGGTTGGTATTTTGTTAAAGCTGTCTCTGCCGGGCGCAAAATCAGTTTCTTGTGGCCATCTTTCTCTGCACTGCGCCTATCAGCTTGGCAGCCATAATGGAAACTTCTTCCTAGTTTATTAAACTTACAAAGTCTCTCACCAGGTATTACTACTAAGCAGGCATTAAACCCTACAGCATGTTGTGTAAAAAATGTAAACAAACATCGCTGTTGGTTTTTTTAGTGTTACAGTGTTTTTACGTTGGTAAGTACCATGCAAGGACAACTGATGGTAAATGTAGCTAATCTGTTGGCTGGCCACAAAACCGGTTAACACAATCTAAAACAAGTATTATTGCGGTTGAAATAATCTAAGCTTTTTTTGCTGTAGTAAACTAGTATGTAGGCTATAGTAAATATAACTGGGTAGCTGAGTTTATAAAGCTTGCCTGGTAACAAGTATGTTACTGGTTTAATCAAGTCAGTAGCTTTTTGATGGTTCCAAATTGGTCCTTTATCAGCAGACTGTTTGTATGGTCCTGACCATATAAACAGATATTCTATTTACCAAAGCTGCTGTATAAGGCAGTTCACCCACCCCACACTCATACTTTAATCACATTTGGGTCAAGACAACCCAATTGTGACTTATTTTGAATGGTAGAATACTGAAAAAGTGAAACTGACTTGTTCGAGTTGCCAAGTTTGTTGAGTGCATCTTTGGATATAACATGGCCGCATACAAGCCGCATCGGCGGGTTGAGATCAGTGCTCTGCTGTCTCAATATAGGACACGCAAATACACTGTGATATCTGCTGTCCTGGCCAAGGTCAATCTCTATCTGAAACACAACAAAATCAGAGGTTAATTGAGCTTCCCGCTTGCTCTCTCTTTGGGATCGACTGCAATGCAAACTTTCTTTCATTATCCCGCATTAACCGCTGAACATATTTCAGCCAAAATAACAAGATTATTTTGAAAAATAGTAGCAATGATAATAAATAAACCTATTTCAATTAGATAATTCTAACACAATTTAAGATTTTTAATTTTTTAAAGGCTCATGGGTTCCCAAAGCTTATGACAGTTACCTGTCATAAGCTAATTCCTAAAAACAGTTATAACCTTTTCAAAAAATAATAAAAGCAAAATTTTCTCCGATTCGCTACATTCTTATGACACTAGATCTAGAACACACATAGGCATCTCCGTTCCCAAATTGAACAATAAAGCACAGCTTCTTACCCCTCACTATCTAGCCCACATTATACACACTAATCTCCCCATACAGATAAGAGAATGGGAGGGAGACAGTGTCACGGTTTTCAGCAGAAAGATCGGGCGCTGGCTTCTCGGTCTGAGCGATGATGCTGCCGAAGAGCTCATCAGATCCCAGTACAGGGCATAATGAAAGTCGATGACAATTCTAAAACTAAATTAGGCTAACAATACCAAACTACTTCTGTACTGGCACCCTCATTCAAGTACTTCAAATATTGTTCATGTTCAGTCTTTTTTTGCCAACAATATGGCAAAAAAAAAATACTTCTTTTTATTTAAATAATTATTTGTTTATTTTGTTATCTTGTCTGTGAAGTGGTGAGCGACGGAGAAGACTCTCCCCACACGCAGATGTACAGTCTTTGTGGGGATTTTTTTCCTTTGTACTTTGCTTTACAGCCACGATTGTAATTTTTGTAATTTGTAATTTTGGAAATAAATATATTCTTATTCTTCTTATTCTTCTTCTTACCTATAACAATTAACAACGAAAATGTAAACATAAGGCCTTAACCCTAGAACTGCCTTCCACCGTTTGAACAGCGGTTTCATGTGTGCACCAGTTTCCAAACGCTTATTACGCAATGAAAATGATCCAGAAGCATAATAATTTTGATACCGTTGAAAAGAGAAGATTCTAAACTTTTATTTTTATAGCGCCCGAAGCATTCTCGAGTCGCGATCGGTAAAATCTTGTTTGGCCCAAACAGAAAGCGGTTTGTAACATTCGAAACAACATGAGTTGTTCTTTATTTTTGTAAAGAGAACTTTGTCATGTACGTACGTTAGGAAGTCTGAGGAATACATTTTTGAAATCAGTTTTATTGTCAACTGGCCATTTTACCTAAAGCGCCGTTTCAACAGCGGTTTCTAAATCACTATTAAAAATATTTATAATTGACATAGCGTGACGTGAGTCAAACTTATCTGAAGCTGAGAAAACGTTCTATCTCTATGTTTTGGTGCCTTTCAGTATTGAGATTCAGGTGACACATTAGCTGTGACCGGATAAACAAGTTGTTTCAAGTTGTTTGCGTTTTGCTCACCAGAATCAAAGCTATTTAATTAAACAATTCCCATGTTTCTACGTTGCTTAGTTATTTATTTATTTTATCTTAAATTGTGTACAGTGATTTATGACCATCCTGTATTATCAGTTACTTACAGGTAGTTCATCTTTGCCATTCCAGATGCCGGTAACTTGTCGTTGTTGCATCACCTGTTTGATGTTAAGCAGAGCGGGCAGAGCTGTGCAGCCAGCATTGATACTAAAACAACAAACACTTGATTGACACTCAATTTCATGGCAGCTATACTTTGGAATAACAAATAGAAATTCTAACAATTAGCGTTAGAAGCAAAGGGAAAGTCCAGTAGCTTTGGAATTTGGTATGCATTTTGATCATGGGGGATGGGGCAGTGACAGATACTAACGACACCTAGGGGTGGAAAAGGGGAATGTTTGTTTGGTGATTTGTCATTTCAAAACATTGTCTTAAGTTGATCTTCATTCTCTGACAAGTGTGAGAAGTAATTTTTACTGTGTTAGCAACCTTAACCTGTGATACTCAACTTCTGATTAATCGGGATAAAGTAGGGTTGAGGCTTCCTGGATATGTAAAATGGCGGTTAATAAACAAAAAACTATTGAGTGTATTGAAATACAATACGGTATTAAATTATTTTAATGAACATGTTTATATTGCACCAAAACATAATTGAACGTTATATTTGACAGAAACCACAATGAATAACACACATATTTGATCAAAATGACACTCGTAAATACAAAGAAGATCTGGTCTTTAAGATCAAAATAAAATATTTACAAGACACAAACTACCGTGAATTAATTTCTTTGAAAAAAATCTGTAACAGTTTTCTATTTTTGAACAAAGAAATAATTTTTTTTACTCTACTTTCATGTTTTGTTACACAATCTTGTCTGCAATAATTGGAGCATTGTATTGCAAACTGGGTAAGAGGGGAGGGTCTATGACCTTGAGTGGGCCTGGGCCAGGCTGGTGAAAGTGATTATTATTTATTGGTTTCTTTAGTTTACATCCTAACGACCCTTCCTACCCAGAAAGAGACACTGCGGTTTCAAAATCATTGAATTAGTTTAAAAACATTGACTTGTGTTGGTAATTAAGACCGTCCGTCTGCATTTAATTTCACTTATTTTTCCTGGAACGTTTCCCAGTTGAGTGTACATGCTTTAAGCTTTCTTAGTTGTTATATTTTAGTGATTTTAGTAATGGTTTTAATAAGTTATTAAGGTAATGTGACAATGTTTAATTATTAATAACACAATTAGTTACCATGATGTGTCATTATTTAATTTAATATGAAATCCTTTAAAACAACTACCCAACAAACAGCAAACTTCTCCGAAAACTAACTTTATTTTCTATCAGTTAGTTTTTAACTACGGTAACTAATAACTTCTATCAGTTACTTTTTACGGGACTTAACTAGTTAGAATATATTACTAACTTTCCTAACTATGATGGCAGCCTTAGACAATTTATACTTTATTTATTTTAATTTTATGACATTTTTCAACCTCCTTGAATAGCAGCCTTTGTAAAATAAAGGGGGTTATGCTTAATCCTTTTATCAGGAAAATCAATTTAAAAACTTGAAAACATGCGAAATAGTAGTTAATGCAACAACCACATAAAGACTATTACAACGTTCAAAGCATTAGAATTTTACTTTTTTTCCTCTCAATTCTTGAACCTCATTGATCCGTTACTACTGTTACTAGGGTTGTAGAGTAAAAAAAAGGTGTTTGTAAAGTAAATACAAATTGCTATCAAGTGAATCTTTTCAATTCTAAGAACTAAACTGAAACGGCTAGTTTAAAATACTCCAGCTGCAGCAAACCTGCAGACTAAGCAAATTTCCATTTGCCTGATTTGATTTTAAATTAATTCTATTTGAATAACATTAGGTTTAACGAGAACTTAGGCCTACCTTAACCGACCTTTTGAGTTATCCAAACTAGGTCCAAACTTGGTCCGGTCCCATTAGGGTTGGTTAAGAGGGGGTCAACTGTATAAAAATATTCATAGATATAATCTAACTTTATTTTTCAACAAGTTATCCTTGGTGAATTTCCTCATTGATATTTTTTAAAGTCAAACCTTTTGCTGTTTTTTTTTTAAGGTAAGTAAGGTAATCATTATGGAAGATTATTTTATACCATACTCAAAGTACTACAATACTTGTACATTTCACAGTTTCTGCTTTAGATCTTGGTGTAAATGTGTTTTAGAGATGGAACAACTCACCAAATACTAAGAGGACTCTCAACACTGAGTCCAAGTTGAAAACAAGCATCTCTGGTGAATATGTCGTAAATCTCTGACCAGAGTCTCGGCTCCAGCAGATGGGAGTACGGGGAGGAGCTGATCCCATGAGGTAGGTACAGGAACATTCCCATCAGGTTCTGGATGTCTACAGAAACAGAGTTAATTGTAATAGCAAGTACTTTCTTGCAGTAGATAACAACAATGAAACACTCTAAAGCAAATTACAAAATAATTCATTTGCTAACTGAGGTTATTTCTTCTTACAGTTATAGTAGCTCTATTTCTTAAATATTGTAATGATTGTGAGTGACTGAGAGAGTGGTATCTATTTGCCTTTATAAACATAGATAATCAATCTGTTCAAGGGTTACCTTTTTCGTGTCTGTTTACAAACTGACTGAGGTGTGTTCGAGCATATTGGATAGCTTCTGTCTGAGCTGCAGATCCTCGCTGGATCAGGTCAATGAACCGAAGTTGGTGGAGTTTGAACTCGAGAATTGAACTCTGAAAATGCAATAATACTCACTAAAAATGGTTGTAGGCAAAAGCCTTTCAATTCAAATAGTTTTAATTTTACCATCACCTCGGAAAAACTACTGAAAAACACGAGCCAATTAAAAAAGAGAAATAAAGCAGAACGAGAAAAATTACAAACTAAGGACAACTCAATGTGTTAGTTGAAATACAGTATAAGACACTTTTTAAGTTGATTGATTGTCACAGTCAATGTCAAAAAAGATCACTGTAGGCCTATTAGTAAAAACAATGCATCTATAGTTTCAGTGTAGGATTCAAACAATCTGAAAATTAATGTGAATAGTCTAGAAAACATCGGAGTTTAAAACTTGCCTGAGTAGAATTGGCAAAACTCCTAATCAGCTGGCTTTTTAACCCTTGAGAACTGACCTTTCAACTGTACTACTATTTGAGATATTCCCACAATATTCAAAATGTTCAAGTTTAACTTTAGCAAAATTCTCATATAGGGAATAAGGAATAAGCTATTCCCGTAGGCCCTAAGACATACAGTAGACTTCCTCTTTTTCAGACTCCTCGAAACGGAGGCCAATCGGGATAACAGTCTATCCAGTTAAACCAGCGTCCTGTAAAACTTATTAACTGATGTGCAGATAAAACTGTCTGGTGAAAGAGATATCACTTCAGCCGAGTGTAGTCCTGTTAAACCTGTATTATCCTAGAGCAGTCTACCGTATACCAGATTTACTTTTTCATTTTTATGTCCCCAGAGACCACAAATAATATACTTTAAAATTCATATACATGTGTGTTGGTTAACAAGATAACTGAACTAACATTCAATCGATTTTGATTATTTGGTACAAACATGTAAACCTAGGTTTATTAGGACTGGGTTTGCGAACCAGCATGATTGATTGAACTACGGAAATGGGGTATTATGGGGGTAAAAATTGGTTTTCCCCTTTCTGGCCCTCGAAACACAAAATATTACAATTTCTTGTAAAATTAATTTTATGTAGCCTATAATTATAAGTTTGACTATTTACATTTTTCCAAAATGTAAACATTGAAACTTTGGAAACCCATGGGGCATAGTCAAAGGGAAATATAATAACAGGAACAGGAATATGTCTATATGTTTAACAGAAGCTACCTTCAAACAAAATTTTATTTCAATCGGTTCAGTGGTTCTTGCGCTATTGAGTAGCAGACAAACACACACCATCTCATTTTTATAGATTATAAGGAGAATTGTCCATTAAATTAGTTTTTTTTTACTACTTAAACAGTGGTACTATTTAATCGTGCTCATTTTTACCATCTTAAAATTAAAAAAAATTTACGGTAACTAGCCCCGCCGCAGCAAACTCGCAGACTAAACGAATTTCCACTTGCCTGATTGGATTTACACTAAAACGTCTCCTTAAAAATATCTCATTGATTCCCTATTTAGGCCTAAATAGGATTAGTTTGACGAGTACTTAGGTTTGCTGCAACAGGGAGGATAAAAAGGTTTTTTTTTTTGTAAAATGTAAAATAGTTTAGTATAAAATGAATGCATTTTCCAAATTTGATCAAAAAATGCTCATAAATAATAAGCAAACTACAACAGTTTACAAAATTTTCTCCATAAGAATAACATGGAAATTTTAAATTTAAAATATTTTGGAATATCCTCCATAGCCATTAGGTGTATAATAACACTTCATTGTACTAAATTATTGGTTTTTTTAAGCTCTACAAAATGGTTTGGAAATAAGTTGCTAAATTTTATGTTTTTAGGGCAAAAATGGGGAAAACCTATTTTTACCTCATAAAACATCCCATAAACCCCTTTTCCCATAGTCCGATCATACTAGTTCACAAATTCGTTCAAATAAATGTAGATATACTCGTTTGTCCCAAATTTCATCAAAATCGGTTAATTTTTTGCTTGAGTTATCACGCTAACGGACGGAAGGTATGGGGGTTTAGTGAGTGGGAGAAAATTTCGTGCCGTTCCGGCCAAACCTCGCATACGGGGTTGGTTCGGCAGATTGGCCACAACCTAAACCCCAACTATCACTTGTTAGCTGCGGAGAGCTACCTTCTGCCACTGGGTGTTGGTCCACCTACAGAACCAATTGAGGGGGGCCCTAGACTAAGGTGTAATGCAATCCGTGCCAAGAGTCTTGTGGCACTGGGGGCCTAATATTCAGTGTCTTAACGGAGCCTTCTGGGAACCAGGGGTAACCCAGTCGTACGCACCCCTTACCTCTCTAATCGGGTCACTGGGGAGGTGGACTTAGATACCCGGTATTCGTGAGAACAATGTAGACAATCTGACCCAAATGGAGGAGGAAGGTCTACTGAAATCTGACGATGACGACAAGCTCTCAGAAACCGGAAAGGAATGGAAAACGACTTTCCAGGGGCGTGTGAAGGTATATTTATGTGCCCAGCCCTACAAGGTCTGCGTATGAGATCCCTCGTACGAAAAACGACTTTCCAGGGGTGAGTTGCAAAGACGGAGGATAGCGGATGCTTTAGCCAAAGGCGAAAAGGTGCTATCCAGAAGTGAGAGGAGGCTGGTGTGGGCTGCCAACCACCCTAACTCTGATCCCTGCAAAGCCAGTTCCTCCCATAACTAGGATGCTGGGAAAAAGCAGGGCAAGGGTGGTACCCCAAAGCTGACTCTAATGAAGCCTCCAGGAAGAAAGGTGGAGGCTGTGCTAACGCAGCCAAAAAGGATTGGCTGGTCAAGCAAGTTCAGGAGCTGAGTCCTTTCAGGGAAATCTCACTACGGCTTGCCCCAGCCAGAGACCTTGTGAAAGCTGTGAAGGTATATTTATGTGCCCAGCCCTACAAGGTCTGCTTAAGAGATTCCTTGGCCTATTGATGAGAGATCAATAGCCATAGTCAAAAGGCTCTCACGGTTCACCAAGGACCTGGGATTTGATGGAGAATGAGGACCTGTGAATGAGGGTGCACAATGAGCTGTTCTAGCTGCGATGCAATCCCATGGTGACTTGTAAGCCTGGCCCTCTGTTAAAAAAAAAAAAAAAAAAAAAAAAAAAAAAAAAAAACGCTAACGGACACATATATAATATGAATTTGACCGGATTGTGTTTTTGGCCTCTAGGGACCTCAAAACAAAAAATCAAATCGGTCCCGGGTCCAGGTCTTACCATGAATACTACAGTAAAAGCTTATTCCCTATATGGGAAATTCGCTAAAAAGTCATAAATACCCACTTTAAAATCATAAATACCAACTTTTTTAAGCACATAGGTATTTTGCAAGTTTCTTGAGCTGTTTACCCACCATATATCACAACTTATAACCTCTAATTCAACAAAATGACCATAACTGTTTTTCTTATTTTAACACGACACAATAGTTCCAATAAAAAATAATGCTAGTGTTCTTATAAACACTCACACCTTTTATAAATACCCACTGGGTACCCAGCTTGGGTGATGGAGGCCCAGTCCATATCACAAAAGGTGAAAAAAATATTTATGTTTGATTATAGCAAGGTCTTGCAAGCGAACAGATTAGAAAGATAAACGTTGTATGTATTCAAACAAGTATAATTGATCTCAGTTGTCAACTTTACCCGAGCATCCAGCGCCTCTCTATGAGCCACTGCCCACTCCAGAGCTGGGCCGAGATCTTTCTGTTTCAAACAATCTAATATTCTATTTAGTTCTGTAAAAGGTTCCTTCACCTCTTCTTCTGAAGGTAACCCTGCATCCTGAAACAAACCAAATCTCAAATAAAACTAATGTAGCCTAATAATGATTTACCTATAGCTAAGTTCTTCAAATGAATGTGAAGGTTGTTAAGATAGGGGCTTAAGTCTATGTAACCAGTTTACAATGTTCTTGTACAAGATCTGAAGATGAGTACAGTAGACTCCCTTTATCCGGACACCTTTTAACTGGACATCGATTAAACCGGACTACACTCAGCGGAAACGACATCTCTTTAACCGGACAATTTTTATCAGCATATCGGTTTAACCGGACTAGATCGGCAAGAAGTGGCCGGTACTAAAACGGCTGTTCTTGTGGGAAAGATTTGGGACCAGTGATCAAGTGTTTTAATACAATGCTCTCCTAAATTTAAGTCAAATGCTGTATACAGTATGCATTTAAACGGTCCGTTTTAAGGTTTTGGGGGCCTCGGTTTACCCGGAAAACCATTATCCGGACTGGCTATGGTCCCGAGGAGTCTGGATAAGAGGGAGTCTACTGTACTTAAGTCCTCGAAACGTGTAATCCACAAGGATCACTCTGCCAGTACTCAGATAATTTTATACCTTTTATCTTTTATGTATAAAAACAATGATAATTAACCTATTAATATGGAGTAGCGTAACACTTATATATCTGTTAGCCTGATAAGTACATTGTACTCTTTCCTTTTATACTGCATATTATTGTATTTCTTTTGTTCTTTGACGTTGTCTACTCAATGTAATGTTGACAAATGACAATAAATGGATTTTTATTCTTATAAATACTAATAGGCTACTTGAAATGAAATTTTCAATGAATGTAAAAGTGTATATATAATACCTGAGCAAGTTCTTGTGCAATGTCCAGCATTCCTTGGCGATAAAAGTGTTGACAAATTATTTGGTTCAAGAGCATGATTTTATCTGAGCCAGAAAAAACATCCTCTCTACTCGTAGATGCAAAATCAGCAACAAAATTCTGGAAATATGAAGAGGATTAGATTAAATATATTTAACTTGTCTATTCTTTGTGAGGGGATCTCCAAACTAACTATCCAACGAGATAACTTAGAAAGTTTTTAATTGTCTCACCACAAAGGTGAGAGAGCGACAAATATTTAGACAAACTAAAACATAATACATCTATCTTAAGACTGTTTAAAGAAACTCTGAATTTTAATTTGCTCAGCAAGAAAAATCTATGAGAAGTATCAAACAAAAAAACTCAAATTAATGAAATAAAAATTTTTCCTGGTGCTATGCCTTTTTTTGAATTACGAGACACGTTCGGAAAGTAAGCTCCATTTCCATTATTCTTTGCGGTAGTGCTGCAATCGCAGTTCAGCATATCCACAGCAGTTACTTTGTGTCAACTGGAAGGTGATGCCATTTTTAACTCATTATTGTTGTTGTGCACTTTGTAACGCTTGTTTTTAATGGCTGCGTTAATTGAGAATGTTGAGCAATGTTAAAAAATAGTGTGGGTAGTAGATTTTTTAAATAAATTTCTTTTCTGTATCTGTACTTCTTATTTTTTATTTCAAAAGGGAAAATACGTTTTCCAAACGTACCTCGTATGAATTTCTTTCATTGTAGCCAAAGTTTTGTGCTAAGCCTAGGTTTTTTCACAGTCAACAAAGTTCATGACTCGTTTATTGTTTTAATATTTTCATATTTCAAGAAGTATAATTTTTATAATATTTATTAGTAGAGGTGTGCAGATATCCGAAAAATCGGGTCGACCTTGAAGCTATATATAGACTTGCACTACTTCCCTAAACCTAAAGGACTGGCGAGTGGTATTCCAATCACAGGACAAGATACGTTGTTTTTTGGGTATTCATTGCCTGGTTGTTTGACTTTGGATTGTCTTATTGTGTAGAAACTTTGAATAATCAAAAATAAAATTAGAACTAACCACGATTATTTAGCATTTATTGTGTATATTAAATGATTAAATGATAGGGACCAGGGGAAATATACAAACTTTTGTCATGATTTGAATTTAAACATCAAAATACAATATTGCACAATCATGATATTTTAGGTCATTGACCTTTATTATGCATCCGGTATTGCTGTTTCAGAAGAGAAGCACGTTGATAAAATGATAAATTATAAATTGATATTCCCGTGGTTAAAAAGAATTATTTTATAAACCTATAAAACAAAATCATAAAATCTTACATAAAGATATAATAGCAATTGTAAAAAGGGTATAAATATAACAACCATTATACTTTCTCTTTGTTCTTCTATTTCTTAGGTTTCCCTTCATCACGCATTCAACAAGTTGCCTAGTTGCCATGGTTACTAATCACCCATGTCGTTATCAGCTTTTGTGACATAGCGCACAGCAGGGGGTAAAACTTGACAAAAATCTGTTAACTTTTACCTATTATTTAATTAACAATGTACTTTATTGGTACTGTATTAATAAATTGGCCGATTTTTGTCAAATTTTACACCAAATTTATTGAAATTTCAAGGTGAATATCAATAAAACAATTATTACCAAATATTTTTATTAATTTAAAAGATCGATTTGTGGTATTGGGTTCCCCACTGAGTGCAGCCGAGCGGCACTAATGAGGTTTAAACCGCCTTGGGGGTGGACAATAGATGGCTTATCACACCCAACCCTCCCCAGTGATCTGGAGAAAGCTTGTAAAAAAACTATTGCACAAGCGTGACTTGACATTGGACTGCTTCAACTTTAATTTTTTTCAAATGAACTGTGATGTTTCAAAATCAACAACAATAATTTTTGACCATACTGCATAACCATTAGGGGGGCCACCAGTTGACCGACAAGATACTTGGTCGTCTTGCCACTAGACCGTCTTTTTTAATTAAATAGATAAATACTGAAAACCAGTACGTCGACAAGTTATTTCATCGGCAGTCCAGTTGACCGGCCTGTAAATCTAAATTATTATATACGAGAAACCAACTTGTCGTCAATCCTCCCGACCGACTTACCACTTGCTCGTCTTTTAGGTGGGGATGTGTTGAGCGGCAGTGCCAGCGGCGCGCGCAGCTGTGGAGGGCACTGCAGGCGTACCAACTTCTGTATCTTGTAGCGGCGGTTTTCATTCCGACGATTTTCAGCTATCACAATGCAGCGGACTAGCGAGGTTCTTATTACGTGTAATTGTTTGTTTCGCAATCGATATTTTGTTATACACAGTACAGTGAATATAAATAGGCCTATGTTAGTTTACTTCAATGAAATAAATGTTTTATTTAGCTAAATAAATAAAAATACGCCGATTGAACAAATAAAATTGTTACAGACAACAGGAAGTCCTTAATATGATCAAAAAAGTGTTTATCTTTATTAAAAAATTACTGAAATTTGTAAACTTACTGCTGGCGACAAGGGTGGTGCCATACATAGGTTTATCAATAAATAAGATAAACATGGACAACCTTATGCAGCTATAAGTCAGGAAACATTTGTAGAAACATTAAAAAGCAATACCAATTTATGAAATATGATAAAATATTTACAGGAAATGTTGATTACTGTATATACATCGTGAGTATCTCCAGCAGTTACACACTGGTGATCTTTGAGTTGACTCTTTTAAACTCATTGATTATTACTTTTTTTCGTTTTGAAATAAATTCTGTACTAGTGTACATGTTGCTCGAATTCGAGCAATTGCAAAGTATTACAGGACTTATTTCAAAACGAATAACAGTCATATTTACAATGAGTTTAAAAGAGTCAACTCAAAGATTACCGGTGTGTAACTCATGGAGATACTCACGCTGTATATAACAGTAATCAACATTTCCTGTAAATTTATATCATATTTCATAACCTGGTATTGCTTTTTAATGTTTTCTACAAACATTTCCTGACTTATAGCCATATAAGGTTATCCATGTTTATCTTCGTTATTGATAAACCTAAAGCATTCCGGCCGGTTTTCTCCTTTTCAAAATGCCTCGCTGTACATGCAACATATGTCATTGATAGAGGGCGCATTTGTAACCTAATAGTTGAGATTGTCCAGGTCATGTGCTGACTGTGATGAGTTAAGCCTATTACGCGCTACTGTGCTGTAGCTGCGGTCGTTATCACGATTACGCCTCCTGTCTATGTTTCGTTGTCGTCACGTCGGAGGCATTTAAAAGAAACAAAACAACAAATAAACAAATTATAGCTACACAAAACAACGATAAATGCACAAACTTAAGTTACAATCATGCTAACACAATCCATCATAGCGACACAAAACAACGATAAATACACAAATTTAACTGTATTGTTCTGGGTGAGGTTGCATGTGATGAAAATGACAGCACATTTTACACATTGCCAGGTTACAATACATTCTCTTGGCTTAGGAAAACAAAAGGTGGAGGAGGACTTATAATGTTTGTAAATGCACAAAAACTAATTTTCACACCAATCACAATACACACTATAACCTATGAAAACATAACGGGTGAATTAGAGCTGCTTGGGTCGAAAGATCAAACAAAATGCCTCATTCATGCGGTGTACAGACCCCCTTCCTCCTGTAGTGGCTTTCCCCTCCCACAAGCGATCAAAGAGTTGGATACAAATATCAGTAATTATAATAACTACAAGAATTTTATTTTACTTGGAGACGTTAACATCAATCTAAACGATAAAACCAATGCATATGTACAAGAATATGAGTCCATGCTGGTGTCATGGGGCCTAGATAGAGGTATCTGGGACAATACTAGAGAGGAAATAAGGCTAAATGTATTAACACAATCATGCATAGATCATATATATTACAGATTTAAAAATCCCTTTGAGAAAATATACACAGGTGTGATAAGAACCAAAATTTCAGATCACTACCCAATAGTAGCAAAAATTGAATTTGCGGGAGGAGGAAAAAGAGACACGCAGGTAGAAAAACCTAGATTAAATGAGCCGCTCTTGGAAATAAAGCTGAAGCAGGAAAATTGGACTATTACAAACCACGATGATGCAAACAAAGGTTTTGAAGAGTTGGTTTTAAAGTTTAAAAAGATTTACCAAGAATGTTCAATTACTTTTTTCACCTCAAGTGGGGGGCATACTGGGCAAAGAAGCGCTCACAAGAGAATCAAGCAAAAGGAATGGATGAACAATGAGATTTTAGACTTGATTAAGGAGAGAGACAGAATTTTTAGGCTATGGAAAGGGGACCCCTCAAACAATAGGCACAGACAACTATACAAAACCCTTAGGAATCAGGTAGTCAACAAAATAAGAAATACTAAAAATAACTACTATAAGAGATTGTTCGAAGATAACAGTAAAAGCACAAAAAAGATATGGGAAAATTTAAACGGGCTACTAAACAGAAAGAAAAAGACCAGTATTGATGACACAGTTAGAAATGCAATGGGAAGTATATTAAGTAAAACAGATGTTGTGAGTGGCTTTGCTCAGTATTTTATTGATGGAGTGGATAATATCAAACATGATTGTATTAATGGTAACAGACTCTTAGCACCACAGCCAGAGTTTGATATACAACCCCTACAAAGCCTATATATACCACCCGCTACTACAGAAAAAATCAAAGCAATAATTAAATGTATGAACTCAGATAAATCACCAGGTATCGATGGAATAAGAATGAAGGATATAAAGTTAGTAGCTGAACACATATCAGAACCACTATCAAAACTTATTAACCTATCAATTTCACAGGGAACTTTTCCAGATTGCTTAAAGACATCAGTAATTAGGCCTATCTACAAGAGTAAAAGTAAGAAAGAATTCCAGAACTACCGTCCAATAGCAATTTTACCATCCTTTGAAAAAATTTTGGAGAAATATATCTTGAATTACCTATACAGTTACATAGAAAGCAATAACTTTTTGAGCAGAAAACAATTTGGCTTCAGAAAGAACCTCAGTACAGAACATGCCCTAACAGAATTTGCAAATACCGTGAACAACATTTTGAATAATACTTGTCATGGATTAGGTATATT